TCTGCGTGTTCGGAGAAACACGATCTTCTGCAATAAAGATAACGCGTGCTCGCTGACTGCTCTTGTCAGCATTGTTTCTGTACGATGCGTATGGGAAACCCAGGGTCCGTAGTGGTCCCTTCAGTGGCCAGAATCTTGCGTCAACATACTGGCTTTTCAGTGTGCGAACTATCTTGTTGATTTCTCGACGGTCACCGATAGTCGGTTTAGCGGCGCACGATGCACAGCGAGAAAACCTGTAACAAAGGTGTGCTTGAGTTCTACTCTGTAGCCAGTTTAGTTGGCCAAGAACGCTGCTGTATGCTGTGTGCATCTTGGGATCACATGCGAGGTTGTCCTTAAGACGCTTCTCGATCTTTATTTCTTCAACGGCATCTACCGCTAGCTTCTGGTCTACACTGGTATACGGTCCATGTTTATCATGGGTCTTCCATTTGATGCGTTGTCCTACGAACATAATATCATCTTTGCCCTCAGGTCCGACTGAGAAGTCTTTCCTTATACTTGCAAATATCTTGGATTCAAAGTGCTTGTCTCCTGCCATATATAAGTCATCTACGTGTAAACAAACGAAACCATGGACTTCTCGTCCATTTAACAATGGGACCCACAAGATATTCAAGTGCAGTGCAGCATCAGGGGTTGTCAGTCCACCTGACATTCTATTTCTGTTTTTTCTTGATACTGCTAGCGCGGGCCTTTGTCTGTTGTGATCCGTAGAAAATATAAGTACAGCGGTCTGCACGAGTCGGAACTAGGCCGTAACTGGTGAGAGACTTATCAACTACGTTCCACCATTTACGGGGTGCATCTGCATCATTGAGACCATACCCTGGCTTCTTAAGTCGAGTGGCCACATATGGAGGATATCCTAGTTCTGACGGAATCTGGCAAATGACATCACGAGATTCATCATATGCCTCTCCTTGCAGGAATGCTGTCTTCAAGTCCATGTGAAACAGTGACCAACGACGATTGACAGCTACCTGGGTTACACAACGAAAACCAGATCTAGATGCTGCAGGCGAATCTGTCTACGAACCCATCGGGCCTTACACTTCAAGAACTTACCGTCCTTGTCGCGCTTCAAAGTTACGAACTTGTAGTTTTCTGGTGTCAACAAGATCATAGACATCATTGTCGATCCACGATTGCGTCTCCGCCATCTTGGCCCCCAGGAATTGTTTGGCAAGTTCACGTTTCTCTTGTCGCGTTGCTTCCTTGCGCTTCTTTCCTACCAAGTAGGCGAACTTATCATCAGTGGATTGAAACAAAGTCAAGTATGCCTTGTCTTCCTTAAACTTATTAAGTCCGGAATATACTCCTTCAATGTCTGACTTATCCTTAGTGCGCGACCGGTGCGAAAACCGGTAGTTCGGTTTAGCGTGTATGTCAATGTAGCGGCCATCACCTACACAAACAAACGTTGATTCAACGGTGCGAACATTGACTGGAACTGAATCTATAATACCTAAGCGCTGAGAAAGATGCTGTGTTTGAACAAAGCTTGTGCTCAGCAGTCAGGTATGACCACTGTGCCTCGTCAATGTACAAAGCATCGGACTCCGGTGACATATTCTTCTTCTCCTACAGGTTTGTGGACAAGTGTCAGGTCACCAGGTATTGTCTCAGCATCACTGTCTGCTTCTTCGGTAGGTATCGGCAAGACCATTTTACCAGTAGGCGGTTGTAATGCTGGTTGCGACGATGATGAAGTCGAAGAAACCTGCAACTCGCGCGAAACATCGCCCCCCAGATGGTTGCTAGGAGGCTGACTAGATGACGACGCGGGCATAAACGGTAGCGTAGGATTGATGACCTTGGGTTTGGTTTGGGGCGGAGATGGTGTATGGATGTTGGATTCAGGTGGATGGGACTTGTGTCGCTTCTGTGGTACTGTTGGTCAACTGGGTGTGACAGGTGTATCGGGCGACGCAAAAGGTGTTGTCGGTGGATGGGGTGGTGGAGCGCTTGGCATCTCATGGTCTGACGCCGGTGGTGTTGAAATATCAAATGTCTGTGGACCAGTGTGTGGAACAATTGGCGCTGGTCCAGGTGGCATTGGAGGTGAAGGTGGTTGAATAGGCTCCAATGCTGGCAGATCGGCATCATCCTCATCCGGTGCATCATTCATCTGATCATCCATATCAGCATCTTCATTCGGATCAGGCTGTCATTTGAGATTATGCGAAATAATCTGATGAATAAGAACGCATTCCAATCCAACAAGGCCTGGCATACAGCTTCTGCGAATATGCGTTCAACAGCAGGACTAAACATCGGAGTTTTCAACTTCGGTGATTTAGGCAGATCAGGTGGAATGGGCCGTTACAAACTGCCGAAGGCCGAAGAACCCTCCTGAATCGACCGAACTATGGTCTTCCCGGGTCCGCAACCCGTGTCACGTCATGATCATCCAGGAGGTGGCAGGTTTAAGCCTATAGGCGAGTATATCCAAGAAGCCATTGAGGGCAAAACCAAAGGAATTGTCGTCCATTCCACCAAGGGTGCTCCCGTTCTAGCGGTACTCTGCCGAGGTGATGAAACCACCTATCTCGAGGTCATTGAGCACTACCAGTCCGTTCACAAGAAGAAGAATGCTCCAGCTCAGGAGAAGCCACGGTGGCTCATTCATGCAGTTTTCGTTCGAATCCATTACGGAAAGCTCGACCCTCAAACCGTGGCCGACCATAGCTATTATCCGACTACCGGAGAACGAATGACGACCGAAGAGATAGATGCAACGCTTGAAACAGTGCTTGACGCTGAAGTCAACCTTCCTGACATGGATAGTTCCAATCGTGGTTTCAATCCGTCAGAGATGCCCCTCTCATCCACGGTCATGCACTCCATGCATATCGAACCTGCGTGGGATCAAGAGTCCGACCCGATCGTCGGGATCGATGAGACCGTATTCGAAAAGACGGACTCTACCAGTAGGCCTCCACCGGAGTATCACTTGCCTCTGAGACGCGATCTAACGCGTCTAGAGAGCAACGAACTCCGGGTTTGTAATTTCCATATCAACAGCAAGATGTTGCGCAAAGGATATGGAGGCCACGACCTAGTACGGTCGGATTTCACCTCAGTTGTGTACGCCGCTCTAGCGTCAGAGGTGGACATCCTTGCTGGCGACGGCAATTAGCTGCCCAGCGAAATTTCACAGGCCAGACCGACACCGACTTCACGACGAGCCAGTGCGCCGAAGTCGCCCAAGCCGTTCTATAACGGCAGTGAATAATTTGAGAGAGTTAGAATATCGAATCAGTTACGATCGGGTCTCCGACATCCGTGCAGAAGAATGGTATCGGTCCGGTAAGGGCGATCCAGCTCACGATGGTGACTGTCTCCGGTATCCGAACAAACATCCAGACCTGTTGACATACCGCGAATCCGATGAAGGCGAGGCAGAAGTCGAAGAAGTCCGCGGTAAGCAGGGCAGCTGGCGATCTCAAGAGACAGTCTTGAAGGAGACAGAAAGGTTTATTAAGTATTTCATCAACGCAGACCTTTTGCTGTCGAACTCCGACGAAGCCTGGCGCGAACCACTCGTGGTTACAGCCCGCAACTATTTGCAGAGGAACTCACGCACCCGTTCAAAGACAGGGACGCAGCAACGTGCGGGGCAGGTATCGAACAGATACCTCAAGAGGCCGACCTATACCGGCCAAGCTAGTGCTCAGGAACGTTCCAGATCGGAACGTGGTCGGTCACATCCTGCCGGATCACGATGGACTCGTAAGGACGATCCCCGTGACGCTCAGTAAGAGCCAGGCGGAAGCTTTTCATTCGATTTTCGGCTTTTGCATCTTCGTTCGATTCTGAGAGTGACATGCTCTGACCGCTCTAGTGGTCGGTTCGTTTCGTTCCGCAAGATCATGTGTACATAGTACTGACTGGCATGCTACAGAGCAAAGAAGATTTGTGTCTGTTTCGTTTCTTGTTTTTGGGTCCCCTTTCGCTGTTGCTTCATATGGTTTATGTTATACGTATATATGCTCTTATAATACGCAATGCGTACGACCGGCCATAATATTTGGCTCAAGGTACATCTTGCGCGATACAAAAGCCGCTGCTCGCCTTCGCTCGCACCGCTCTTGTGAGGTTGCTACGTTGTAAGTCCGGTCCAGGTCGATACTGAGGATTGTACGCTCCACTGCGGGGGATTCCACCCTCACCCCTCCCCTACCCCCTACCCCCTTCCCCTTCCCCTTGCTTCACAGTCGGTCAGTCAGTCAGTCAGTCAGTTTCTCCTTCCTGCCTGCCTTCCTTCCTTCCTTCCTTCCTGCCTGCCTGCCTTCCTTCCCTCATTCATTCATTCGTTCGTCCGTTCCTTCGTTCCTTCGTTCCTTACTTACTTATTTACTTCTTTCCCTACTTACTGATTTGCTTGCTCACTTATTTGCTTACCTTAGTTTTTACTCTTTTTACCTAACTTACTTGCGTACTTCTTACTTACTTATTTAGTTACTTCTTTACTTCCCTATTTACTTCGTACTTATCTACTTTTGTATTTACTTACATACTTTTTGTTTTCTTGCTTACTCACATATTCAACTTACTTAACTTACTTGCCTACAAATTTACTTCACCTTACCTTACGCAATTACTAACTTATTGATGTACTTAGTTAGTTGCTTACTTACTTTCTCATTGGCTTACTTACCTAACATCCTGTTTACTTTTTCGCACAACCTCAAACACCCCCAGCCGTATCAGATAGCTGCCCACACCACACCCGCCTACTTTCCCTGCCCACAACCTTATCCTATTCCTGTCCGCAGGCCCAAGGAAACCCTAAGCGTCAGAGAATTTTGGGTAGACATTGAGTTTTCACGGCGGTTCATGGGGCTGTGTGGCGGGATAGTTATGACTTGAGATCTGTGACGCGACCAAAGTTTTTGATGAGAGGGCAGCCTGGTTTTGCTGTTGTGAAAACTGTTTCTTGTTCCTCAAGACACCTGTCATCCTGTCTACACATGACATGGTGACATGTTGAGGCCAACGGCAGATGGTGATAAAACCAACAAATTTGGCTTTTGGCGCAGGGGCTACCCTGTGGAATCTATCCGAGGATGCTCAGCTTACGCAGCCCGGCCATGTTTTTCCCCTGTGTAGCGGCCAAATGCTAAGCATCCCTTGTTGCTGGGGATGCTCACGAAAGCAAAGCATGCTGCATCAGCCTGAGGCAAGAGAGCTGCTTGTTGTCCCTGCAGGAAATGTTCCAGAAAGTGCAAGAAGGCCATGTGGTTTGGCTGTCAAATCACACCGTTCCACACCCATGGCATGTTCTTTGCACATTCAAACGCTTGCCTCAAAGACGACGGCAAGGCATTTCAACAAATTTAGTTTCTTGGCAATACTTGTTCTATCGAGTTTCAGAGCGAAGACAGTATGTAGCAAGGCGCTGTTTAGAAAGAATCGCACCCAGCCAGCTTACATGTTCCCCGAGGACGATGTGATAGTACAGGAGCGCCCTGCCTCGAAATATTTTTCCACATGGTGCCACATTTGTTGGCCCCTGAAATGGTCCGCATCTTCCTGCAAGGTTTGTGCATAGTTTGACGATGAAGGGACGTAAACTGGAGCTACGTGCACATGTATTGGTGGCTTCTACGAATCCGTTGATTGCCTCTTGGCTCAGCTTGACGCTTTCAATCTGAGCCCCTTGGGTTTTCGTTTGCAACAGCAGCAAGCGTTGCAAAGTCACGCGTGTTTGAACTTGAAAGTGTGGAACCTGTGTGCGTGTTTTGGTGGGCTAGCAAGCCCCATCTTTTGAGCCAGGTTTTGTGGGATCCCAATGTGCTGTGGAAATGGGGTACAGTGCCATTGCCTGAAGGATGGATTTTGAGTGGTCCATTGCAACAACGAGAGGACTGCTGCTGACATTGCCGCAGGATCAATCATTAGTTCCTCTTGTTGAATGCAACTTGAGGTGGCCTCTCTGAAAGGTTGTATATTTGGAAGTGCCATTGCCCCTTCTAAGCCAGCAACTAATCTGGTTGGCCTGGGGCAGAAAACTAGAGGCCCACAGTCAAGCATCAAATTATCCCAAGCCCAAACAGTGTTCAGAAGATCACCGTGATGAGTGAGAAGCTGATCTGGTTATCCTTGCGGCAGTCGTAGTAGTGGCAGTGGTAGTGGTAGTGGCAGTGGTAGTGGTAGTGTAGTGATAGAGTGGTAGCGTAGCGATAGAGTGGTAGAGCGGCGGTGGTACATGTAGTAGTGGTGCGGTAGTGGGTGGTAGTGTTGTCCTCCTTACCTAACTCTTTATATATCTTTATGAAATGGGGGTCCTGGTCCTTTACAAAATTGCCTTCCAGCTCTTTTTTCATACAGACTTCGTATGACCCACGGGCTGTTTACGTTCATTGCTGCCTTGAATGCGGCGTACTTGATGGACGCTCAGTGCGTCATCTTGGAATGTACTCCGTTGACGGTCAATTTCCCTGACACCAAGCGGGTCCTTGAATCCGTTGCGGGTGCCATGGGCTTTAGGATATTTTGCTCCAAGTTCAAGAGTCTTGGCCACGTCGACGCTCCAGATGGTGGTGCGCTACCTCTTCCAGCCATGGCTGACATTTTGGCATTTCCTTCTACGCCGAGTTTCTTTCAGTATGGCCCTATTGGTTTGGACTTGTCACATCTCAACCTCCTCCTACCTGAGCCATGAATTTGAGAGGACCTGCAATGAACTTATCCCAGGGAATCGGCCACTGGTCTTGGTAGACCTGAAGACGGAATAGGTCCGAGTCAAAAGCAACCGGAAGCGCAGTAGGCCCCAAGATCTTCTTCACTGCCATATCCCTGAGCAGGAACCACGTATGAGCAAGAGAGCTGGAACGAGTCGCCTGCTCCACCGACAGGAGAGACCTTGTCAAGTGGAATCTGAGTCAAACCACCATCATTCCATCCAAAGAATGAGGAGCAAGAGCCAAGAGCTGAGGTTGTGGTACAGTCGAGGACGAGCCTCCTTAGTTTTTTCTGACCCGTTCCTTGGCCTTGGGCAGCCGTTTGGCCATCTGCGCCATGAGCTCCGAATGTTGGAAGGGTTTGTTGCTGGTTTGCCCATTGTTTCAGAGCCTGCCAGGGGTTTGGCTGCGCGATCGCATTGGACGTCTTCAGTCACCCCTCTGTTGATCAGGAACTTGGAGAGCCAGCTTTGAACCTGAACAGCTTCTGCCGCGCCCCGGCCACGAAGATGCTCAAGCCCCTGAATGTGGGACGCCCATGGTTGGACCTTGCTTTCGGCCATTGGTGTCCAAATGTCGAAGTAGAGGCCCATGTTGTGGGCACAGAAGGCGCCGCAATGCTACCCGCCATGTTGAAGCACCAGGGCGTGACGATCCACCCGGACAATGACCCACTGAGAAACCTGACTGAGCAGGCGAACCACCTGGCTGATTTGGGTCAAATGAAAGTCTGGAATGCTATCCATACAGGTGACAATGCATGATGAGGACGCTCCGATGGCCTTGGAAGAAAGACAATCCATGTGATAGGCAGTTTGATCTCTTGCTGAAGAGTGCGAGCAGCCATAGGAAGCGGCTTGCAGGGCAGGACTTGCGCAATCCGACGAGGCACAAGCCATACCAGCTCTCGTTGGTCATCAGACAGCAGCATCAAAATCTCCTGTCGGCATAGAGCTCCATATAGTGAATGCCAGCAGCCTGACCATGCTACACGCGAAAAGCATTCACAAAGCGGAGGCCATGAACATACTGGTAACGGAAGGGTTCAACGATTTTGGGCCAATCGGACATCTGCGTTTAAACTGCCGCGCTCCATCAACTTGATGACGATCATGCCCTGAGGAACTTCGCGGAGCCTCTTGGGGGCTGCGATCTGGATGTGGTAGTCGCCCCCCTTCATCAAGGCTTCTGGTAAAAGGCGGATTCCATTTTTGGAAAGGCAAATTCGGTGACCCCGTCCCAAAAAGGGATTGACGAGCTTGAAGGAAACTTGCCACTGTTGTTATAGGACCCAACGTGAAAGTGAAAGTGGAATCATTTCCATGGATTGTGATCTCCTGCCTGTGACGATCTTGGTACGTAGGCCAGATCTGGCGGCAAATCTCAATGTTGTTCTGAATATAGGAGAGCAACTCCTCAGCTGGGAGTTGGAAGTTCAAAGGCCAAGACTGTAGAGCTTGCAGTGCGTGCAATGGCTCGGCGATTTCTTCTTCCAAGGCGGCCATCTTCACTGTCATGGCCCGAGTCCCACCTTCACTCACACCAGCGCTTTTGGAACTCTCCGCAACCGATGGAGTTTACACTGAACTCCAAGGGACCCTCTCCCAAATATGCCATGATTTGGGGGGCAAGGGGGGTCTTGATCAGGCCTTGCACCTCAAGTGCCAAACGGCAAACGCTCTTCACGTAGTACGTCTTCAGGCCAAGTATGGACTTCGATGCCTTACTTCAGATCAAGAGGCGGTTCACAAGATTATCCTGCGCAAGATTCCCTTTGTGGCTGGTATTAGCTGGTATGTCTACTTTGCAGTTTGAAGTGGGTCCTTGGCCTTATGGTGCTAGAAAGCTTTCCATTGCTCAGTCTCTTATTGCGGCTGGATTGGAAGCCAAACCTCTCAGGCCTACCAAAGGCACTGCAGATGGACGCTACTGGCTTGTTTGCGCGGCCACGAATTACAAGTCCCCCATCTTGCAGCGGGCCCACCTTCAGTTTTGAGGCTCCTTGCAGACCCTTCAGAGACTGACTGGGCCCATGGGTGCAGATCCTATCCAGCGGCGTGACCCATGGGCAGCTACTGCAAAATTTCTGCCGTCGCCGGCCTCGGCACCTAGTCCTTCCAAGATCGATGAGGTGGCCAGTCCCTGAGCAAGTTCGAAGGCAATTTCGTTCTATGACGGGAGATTCTGCTATGGGGGTGGAAGAAGCTCGTCTTTCCTCTATGGAATCCAGTATCCAAGAGCTGCAAGCGCAATCCTGCAAGTTTTCGGACTGGTTTCAGGAATGCGGTGATCTTACACCCCGGGTTCAGAAGCAGGATGCACAGATGGCGTTTTGGACTCTAGAGTCACTCTGGCTGATCAACGCGCATCAACAAGTGGGCAAATTGCGTGGGGATCTCTTGGATGCATCTGTGGCTACCCAGACGGAGCAATTGGAAAGCCTACGCTCCACTGAGTGACTAGGGCGGCGGGGGCCTCTTTGGCTCACCCCGTTCTCACCATGTTCCTTTCCGCTTCTTCTCTCACAATTAGCCTTCTCAGTGGCTTTCGTTTCGGAGAAGCTGCAAATCCGGCACCTGCACAGCAGGACATGGCTTCAGCAGCCACCTTTGTTTTGGGGTGCGCTGGCATCAACAACAAAGCTATGGCCTCCGCTGAACTTCCTTGGGGTATTTGGAATGTTGCGGAGACTCAGGCATCTTGTCCAACTTTCAAACGTTGGATGAGTCGTTCCACTTTGGCATGTCTTCATGGTGAGTATGCACCTTTGCGAGCGTGCTCTTGGGGTTGCGCAGATAATTTGCAGGCTGTTCCACTACCATGGAGAGGTGCTTCCTATCTCTCTGGCCGCATCATACTGTCATCTTTTCAATTGCTTGAGCATCAGTGTCTTGGAGCTTGTGTATATGCACCACTTTCTGGGCCCACATATGGGCGGGGTGCGCCCCTGACTGACAACCTGTTCTGTCTTCCCATGGCCCTCGCTTCATTGCTGGGGGTTGCAATTGTTCACCTACTGCGCTGGACACCTTTGACCTGTGGCGCAGTCGGGGTTGGGAGCCCGGGCTTCCTCCATCGCGCAGCGAAGCCGGACGCAGTTGATGTTCCAACGCCGCACGGTTAAGGAGGCCCCTGCTGGCCATTCTTTTTTGGAGCTTTGGCGGTGACAGTCAGCGGAGGGTTATTCTATAGTTCTCAGCGAGCCCGTCTTGAAGCGCCCCCATGAGTTCTGACTTAAAAGAGTCCGTCTCCTTGTGCACTTTTTGTTCCCGGTGCGTTTAGCCCTTTGCTTTCTCTAGGCCTTCTCACGACCGGTGTTCTAGCGTTTGCCAATTGCGCTGCGTTCATGGCCGGGCCATGCTTGCCCGTTCTTACAGGATGTAGGCCCCGCACGATGTCTGACTCGACAATTTGTGCCCACGATCGCATTCGGTTCAGATCCATCACGCTTTCATCCGCTTCATGGGCTTGTGGTTTGGCCGAAGACTTCTTCAATACCCCGTCTCTTTTTTACAAATGGAAGTCTGGGTGACCCGGTAGCCGGTGACGCTTGGGCATAGACCGCCGAAGCCACGCCTCTTTCAAAGCCGGATGTGAATCGCTCGCCGAATTGATATACACGCTTCCGTCAGCCCCTCGCAAAGTGTCACTGGCCCTGCGCGCAAGAATTGCCTGGCCATCGTGACTCAGGTCGCCTCAAAAATGCCCTGTTTGCGTAGACTAAACATGTGGGCAGCTATGTGTCCCTGGGGATTTCGGGCAGTGAAGCATGTCGGCCGGAAATCGCGTAGGGCCTAGCTTTTGAGCTGGGCAAAACTGAAGCTGAGCGGGGCGTGGCTCTTGATGAGCTTGAGAACCTACAAAAAATTCTGAACCGATGAACGCCGCTCGCCTTTCGTTTAGCAGGGCTCGTCCGCAAGGACATCTATCGGCTAGAGGCGAAAGGGTGGCCCTTGCGCTTTCCATCATTCGGGGATGGTCGGCTACCAGTTTTACAAAAACAAATCGCGTGAGCGTGTGTCTAGTAACTCGGTCAAGCAGTTCTCAAGCGACGATCCAACGGCCTCCCCAGATGCGTCTCTCACATTGATTGACTTGATCATTTTGTTCAAGAAGCTTTGTGATTAGTGAGGTCCCGTCTTCAAAGACTTCCCTGGGGCTCTCACTCTTCAGCGCGCTTGCGCAGGACAGGTCTTCTAACGCAAAACCTCCGGCTCAAGAGGTCTGAGCGTGCAGCCGAAATAGTGTCCGTTCAACCTTCAAGCATGTGAGCCTAAGTCTCACCTAAAGGCATATGTTCTTTGCTCTTACAATGAAAGCGTCTGAGCCCAACACTCCCTTTGTCCTTGTCGAAATCTTCATGTACAAGTATGCGCGTTAACTTCTGATTGGTATTCATGTGGTTGCCAGGTGCATGTCCAATCAGCTTGACATGCAACTGTAATGACACCTTCCAATTTACATGAAACTGTTATGAACCTGTGTAAGCTGTAGTTCTCACTCAATGCTTGTTGCATTTGCTTCGGCTTTGTAATTTCGAAGCCTCCTCGACTTGTGCATCTTGTAGCTCAAGCGTTTTACATCTTATTCTGGCGAACTTCTAATTTTAATTCCAATTCCTTTCTAATTCAACTCCCATCTAATTTTAAATTGGTTATAGTTATAGTTCAATACAAGTTTAGTTGAAATTTAGTGTTAATTCAGTTCTATTCTAGCTCTAACTCAAATCCAATGTAATTCGACCTAATCACGAAAGCTAGCCTTAGCTAGCTGGAGTTGCTCTTGCTTTAGCAAGTTAAGTGACGGGGTGGATGCACCTCAGAAACCTCAAATAATTGATTAAATCAATCTTATGG